TATATATATATATATGTTTGTATGCTGGCATTTGTTTTCTAACTGGTTTGTCAAGTCGAACGAAACATAATCCATCAGCATACCCAAAGGGACAGTCCACAATTGTCACGTGAAGGAACAACTCAAAAGCTAGGCGCAACATGGGTGATCTAGTGGCCCACCGCACTCTTGCAATGCACCATAGGCACATACACAATGATAAATTGTGCTAACGATCAGGTTGGCACGGAAAGTCACTTCTGACATTGTCACAGGAGTGGCAGTCTGATAACATTAGAAAGCTAATGAAGATCAGATAGACCTACCCTATCCGAGGAGGTTTCGTCCACGGACCACTGTTAACTGGCGGCTAACGAATCCGGTGTGATGAGCTCAGATCTGATCACTCTGGTAGCCTAGTTAGCTCCCCGACAACTGCAGCTTCAGTGAAATCCTTGCGTGCTATAGACCTACCACCTAGAGTGCAAAGCTCCTATTTACACACTGCTACTGAGTGAGTGGTCTTATAATGTAAGTCATTGATATTTTTCAGGTCGACCATGAGCGTAAGCTTTAGATGACCAAGTCTTCACCCTTACAGGCGAGCAGATACAAGCACTCATGTCGCTACATTCTGAAACTGAACTTCATTCAGATGCTGATTTCATTACACTACCTTCCGGTCCTAGAAAACATACTCATAAAATACTCAATGATCGTTCTGATTCAGCCCGAGCTGTAGATAACGCAAAGACAACTGAACGGCTATTTTCCCTCCATTTTCAACCACCAGAAGTGCACTGACTTCCGTGTAAATGTTCTTTCCGCATGAAAGACCACATTCGTCTGACGGCTACTCAATTCAATGCGCGAGAATAGTTAGGACTGGAACAGAGCTCAAAACCGAGGTGGATAAGTTGATCAATTCAATTATCCGCCCGAAACGACCAATAGGAAGCAAAAGCCTGCCATATCCATGTTTAGGGGGCAGAGGTGTAGAAAAGGGACAGGGCAGAAGGTACGCCTCTCCCTCCCCTTTGTTCAGGTAGTTCGTCCCACACAGAAGTCCGGACACATACCAGCATCCGGTCGTGCTCAGCCAATAGGCAACAGAAGGTAGAGCAGGAAACCAGCTTTCTGTTTGTTGCCGCTCCACAACCAGACGTGGGCACGTCCGTGTGCAGCTAGGACGTGCACGAGATGGAGAGCGAGAGCGTGCGTGCATACATGGCAGTTAGGGGGTGGGTGGGTTTCGGGAATACGTTGATTCGACTGTTTATGCTGATTGGTCATCCGTGAAGCGCTGAAGTGTTATTCCACCTTATCACTGGTAAAAAATAATGTTCCGGTTTGGTTAATGAGACGAAGAAAACCAAGTCCAACGAGTCGTGTGCTATTTTGCACAACTACCAGCGACAGCTACGCGACCCATTTTTGCCTACTTATTTCACTACATTACGATCCATTCGTCTCGCTTTATTCGCGCGGCTGCACATCGCCAATTTGAACAGGATACTTGTGAATGTATCCACACGCTCGACCGGGCCTAGTATTGACCGATTGATAGATTGACGTTGATCGAACGGAGGCGATTGTAAATTAAATTTTCCGGTGACCCACTTATTCAACACGGAAAACTAATTAAATATTCGATCGGACAGTCGGACACTGGAAGACGGTAACCAACACCAGCACTCTTGACTGCGACGGCGACGGGAAAAACAAAGGTGGAGTAAAAAGTGAGTCCCC